CCAAGTGCTTAAGGTGGTCAACAAACTTCTCTCCTTGGGCATGATGTCTGGGCTGCAACAGCCTACTGTGTCAGAGGCTCATGGAGGTGGAAGAGCCCCAAGAACTCAATGAGGATGGCCTTTCAAAGACTCCTGATTCTGATTCCTGGTCAACTGAAACACAATAGGTCATTTCTCTACCTAAAGAGGAGTCTGCAGCTGGTCCTTCAGGCCCCAATCCAAGAGGGTTGGCGTGGCTGCCAACTGATTTCCTTGTGCAACCTGGGGTTGAATTAGCGCACAGGGGATCCAATGTAAAGAGTGAGCCATCTACTCCTGCTTCTGCCAGTGGGCACCAGATTTGACCAACTTGGAGCTTGTTGTGGTTCCGGAGCAGCCTGTTGTGTCTAAGGATGTCCTGGGCAGTGAATTGGATGCTGTCATGGAAAATATACTCATATACTGCAGACTCTGGCTCTTGAACCAGTTCCTAGTCCTTGGCTCCCAGCCTTGTTTTCATCATTAAAGTCAGTGTCCAGTGACTGGGGAGATGAACCATCTATAATGAACAATAGCACAAAGGAGACACAGCCTCATATGTCACCCTGTGGTAGGACGGGAATTTCCACATCATCCCAAAGCAGGGGCTGACACTTTTTGGTGGGGAGCAGAGCTACTCTGGGGGACTTTCAGCTGGATCCAGAGGTTTACTTTCCACAAGGTGCGGCCTCTGGAAGGCAGCTCACCCACTTTGCCCTTCTGCAACAGTATCTGAACCGGGTCATTAAGATGCATTGTGGACTAGAGTTCCTGTATCTAAGTTGTTGCTTCAATCAGTTGACGTGGATAGGAAGGACATTTATAATCATACAGTCTGGGTAGTAAGGGAGCAATTAGTACTTCATGTTCCCTACTTAGTGGCTAAGATCTTTATACTGGAGACCACTGCAGTACATGTCCCACCCATTGACCGAGCATATGATCATGAAGTGCAAGGCCTTGTAAAGAGAAGTATGGTGGCTCCACTGTGTGCCCAGTGGCATGTGTGAAAATAAATGTGCAGTGTATATGTGAGATAGGCTGGTGGAGTTAAGGACATACTCAATATTACTTTCGAAAATGCTACAGAGCCTAATGCTTGGGTAGACAGTTAATGACCTAGCCACCAGCTAGAGTGGAGACATGGTCCTACTATGAGTGTGTGGGGTGCAGCATTACAGTTGTGTCCAAAATTATTCAACCCCCCCCCACTGAAATTGAGTGTTTTGGCCAGTTTGACATTGCTTTTTGATCATTCAGTCATCCTTGTACATTTACATTAAGTTGTTGTCAGACAAATCAGTGAAATAACCACAAATGTCTTTTCTGTGCTCACAGCGTCAACCCCCAAGTGACATTCAATCTTAGTACTTAGTACAGCATCCTTTTACAGTTTATAACAGCTTTTAAACGTGAAGCATAGCTTGACACAAGTGTCTTGCAGCGATCTAAGGGGTATCTTCGCCCATTCTTCATGGGCAAAGGCCTCCAGTTCAGTCACATTCTTAGGCTTGCGCACTGCAACTGCTTTCTTTAAAGTCCCACCAGAGGTTCTCAATCGGATTTAAGTCTGGTGACTGCGATGGCCACTCCAAAATGTATCCAGCCTTTCCTCTGTCCAACCCATGCTCTATTGGACTTGGAGGTATGCTTTGGGATCATTGTCCTGTTGAAAGGTCCAACGTCTCCAAAGCCTCAGGTGTGTAAACGGACTGCATCACGTTTCCATCCAATACTGGTGGAGAATTCATGGTACCTTGCACACGCTGAAGCTTCCCTGTACCTGCAGAAGCAAAACAGCCCCAAAGCATGATTGACCCTCCACCATGCTTCACAGTAGGCAAGGTGTTCTTTTCATCAGGCCTTGTTCTTCCTCCTGTTGATCCATGGGCCCAAACAGTTCTAATTTTGTTTCATCAGTCCACAGAACACTATCCCACAACTTTTGTGGTTTGTCCAATGGCTTTTGCATACTGCAGTCGACTCTTCTTATTCTTTGGAGACAGCAAGGGGGTACGCCTGTGGAGTTCTGGCACGGAGGCCTTCATTACGCAGTGTGCGTCTGTCTGGGCTGAAACTTCTGTACCCACATCTGACAAATCTCACTTTCCTCAAAATCACACGGGGCTACGCTTCAGGTAGCGCACAGCAGTCGAAGTCATGCTTCTACCAGTTAGCGTTTCAACAGTGACCTTTGCCACGAAACTAGAGTGGATGTTTAACATATAGCCATTGCCCTTCCTGTGAAGAGAAATCACCTCTTCTCTTGTGGAGCCTTCACCATGTTTGTATCTAGAAGGAGCTGAGTATCACAGTCATTTTAAAGCTGCCTAATTGGTGCTTATTATGGATTGCTGCTCGGTGACATCCACAGGTGTTTTCATTACCTGATGGAAAGCACCTGTATGAACCTCTGTTCTTCAGAGTGGTAGTCTTTAAGGGGTTGAATAATTGTGGCAATGAAGAAACCACATAAGAACCATTTACTACTGTATTACATAAACAATTGATGTCATTTTAGTTGCATTTGGGTAGTTACAACGTCCTTGTAGGATTTGATTCTGAATACAATTCCAAATGTACACTATAGTCCCTAAACCCCTTTACAGCATTGGGGGTTGAATAATTTTGGACACAACTGTAAGGGGCTTCTGGCCTGAAAGAGTTAAATACCTCCACAAATTAAATGATGTAAGTAAACTGTATGGCTTGTAGTACCTTCTGAGGTGCCCCAAGGTGGCAACCTTCCAACACACTGACCTCAGGTGGGTCATTAGACACTACAGCCATTCATAAAATGCCTTGTATTTTTGTAATTAATACAAGGTAGTCTCTGATTGGACTAGGTGAAGATTGTGAAATCATCATTCCTACTCTACACTTAGACCAATCAGAAAAAAACTTTTATTCACTGTAAAAAATACAAGGCATTGTATGAAGGTGGCAGTGCCAATATTATCTGCTCATATTCACCCAAATGCTTCACAACTCATTGGACGCCGCTTCACAGTGCAGATGGACAATGACCCAAAGCATACTGTTTTTTAAGGGAAAGAAGTGGAATGTTATGCAATGGCCAAGTCAATCACCTGACCTGTATCCGATTGAGCATGCATTTCACTTGCTGAAGATAAAACTGAAGGGAAAATGCCCCCAAGAACAAGAGGAACTGAAGACATACAGTGCCTGGCAGAGCATCACCAGGGATGAAACCCAGCATCTGTGATGTCTATGCGTTCCAGACTTCAGGCTGTAATTGACTGCAAAGGATTTGCAACTAAGTATTAAAAAGTGAAAGTTTGATTTATGATTATTATTCTGTAACCATTACTTTTGGTCCCTTAACAAGTGGGAGGCAAATATGCAAACTGTTGTAATTCCTACACCGTTCACCTGATTTGGATGTAAATACCTCAAATTAAAGCTGACAGTCTACAGTTAAAGCACATCTTGCTTGTTTCATTTCAAATCCATTGTGGTGGTGGTGGTGTATAGAGCAAAAAAATGTTAGAATTGTGTCGATGTCCCAATATTTATGGACTGACTGTATATTACCGGACATCTGACACATTCTACTCCCATGTAACATCTTTTTGTGCCATGTGCAGGGTTCCATAGTGCTCAAGGAATGTATGGCTGTGAGCTGAGCGATGACGGCAGCACCACGGGGTATTGTCATTTTGCATATGATGGGAGAGAAGTCATCTATTTGGACAAAGAGAGAGCAATCTATATCCCAACTGTATACGAGGCTCAGCTCACCACACAGGAATGGAACAGCCCAGAGATGAGCTGGGGGGAGCTTATGAAGGATGATCTGGAAAATGATTGTATTGAGCAGGCCAAAAATGCAATAAAACATGGGAGAGAAGATCTAGAGAGGCAAGGTAACTGTGCTAAATGTGCACTGTTTAACAGAAAATCTATGTAGATTATCTTCATATATCTTTCCAAAGAATGTATCTTCATAAACTGTATAGTCTGATAATAAAACCTGCTGTACACCCAGTTTGACACCTGTTGAATTAGGACACCCACTACAGTGCTCATATGCTGGAGACTGGTCACTGAAGGGGAGCAGTGCTCATATGCTGGGGACTGGTTATAGAGGGGAGCAGTGTTCATATATGCTGGAGAGTGGTGCTCATATGCTGACTTGTCATAGAGGGAGCAGTGCTCATATGCTGGAGACTGGTCATAGAGGGGAGCAGTGCTCATATGCTGGAGACTGGTTATAGAGGGAGGTGAGCACTGGTCATAGAGGGAGCAGTGCTCATATGCTGGAGACTGGTCATAGAGGGAGCAGTGCTCATATGCTGGAGACTGGTCATAGAGGGAGCAGTGCTCATATGCTGGAGACTGGTCATAGAGGGGAGCAGTGGCTCATATGCTGGAGACTGGTCATAGAGGGGAGCAGTGCTCATATGCTGGAGACTGGTCATAGAGGGAGCAGTGCTCATATGCTGGAGACAGGTCATAGAGGGAGCAGTGCTCATATGCTGGAGACTGGTCATAGAGGGAGCAGTGCTCATATGCTGGAGACTGGTCATAGAGGGAGCAGTGCTCATATGCTGGAGACTGGTCATAGAGGGAGCAGTGCTCATATGCTGGAGACTGGTCATAGAGGGGAGCAGTGCTCATATGCTGGAGAGTGGTCATAGAGGGAGCAGTGCTCATGGAGATGGCTGAGGGAGCAGTGATATGCTGGTCATAGAGGGGAGCAGTGATCATGTGCTAGAGGCTTATTTCTGAAAGGTAAATGCTATTAAACTGTTTGTGTGAAAACTGCTAGTGAGCTCTGTGTACTGGAGGGGTGATCCCACTGCTGGCATGGATATTTGTAAGCAGGGCTGCTGTTAGGAACTATAGGGCCATATACAGCCAACCTGACAGTTCCCCCTCCCAAAAAAAAAAACAACAGTTTACTATGCTTCAGGTATGAATGAACACAGAGACTGATCAGTACAGATCACTTTTTTGTGTTCATTCAGGAAAGAAAGGGACTGGTAAATGTGACATATTTACTGAATCCTTCCCCCACTCTCCATCCTGAAGGGTCTGGAGAGGAAAGAAGACAGCAGCACTGCGAGGGTGGGGGCACAAAGGGGGGCCTGGACAGCAGGGGGAAATGTATGGTGTACATTACTGGATCCAGATCCTGCGTGGCTCTCTCTGCAGCAGCTGAAAGCAAGAAGGAGGAAGAGAAAAAAACAGCTTTCAGTTGCTGAAGAGAGAGACATACAGGGGATCAGTTCCAGTAACTGCCCCCCCCCCACTGACCGTTTTGATCACCCTCCCTGCCCACATCCAATCCACCCAGCTACCTGAGCCCTCATACAGGAGGACTGGTGGTAGCCCTTATCTACGGCCCTGCTGGTAAGTGAGGTGTGTGTGCTGGGGCAGAGACACAGGGAAAACGCTGGGGGGGATCTCACTGCTATAGAATACTCTGTATAGGACTGTAAGCTGCATATACTATAATGGACAGGATTACATTGTATACACACACTGCATTTACAGTTAGTTGGGACTAAAATATTTTGCACTCTAAACATTGTGAAGATAATTACAATTTGTGCGCCTAGATGAAAAGAATTGAAAGGAACCTCTATATCAGTGGTCTCCAAACTGCGGCCCGGGGCCAGATGTGGCCCTTTGCTTGCCTCTATCCAGCCCTTGGGATACTATTGTTCCAACTGACACCAATGATGAGGCACCATCCCTCCCACTTTCACCATTAATGGGACACTCTTCCTCCCACTGATACTATCAATGTGGCACTATTCCTTCTGCTAAGACCTCTGATGAGGCACTATTCCTCCCACTGACACCATTGATAGGGCATTATACTTGAAATTGATACCAACCATGGTTTGCTATTCCTCCTGATAAAGCCAACATGGTGGGAACTATTCCTCCTGTTAAAACCAATGGTGGAGCAGTGTTCAGTCCCACTGATTTTGGCACATTTTTTTACTGACACTGGCTACAGTTCGGCCCCCCTAAAGTCTTAAGGACAGTCAACTGGCCCTTTGTTTAAAACATTTGTAGAACCCTGCTCTATATGCTCATGATGGTTATTCGGAGAATATGCAAACAGAGAATTGCATATATGATGATCCCCCCACACACATACACACACATGCACTTTCATTAAATCTGTCTACCATTAGCAGTTTTACATTTTTTCCTTTTTTCCATCTCAGTGCGTCCAGAGGTGAAGGTGTGGGGCCGTCGTCAGTCGGATGATGTGACCAGACTTCAGTGCCTGGTGTACGGGTTTCACCCCCGACCTGTGGATGTGAAGTGGATGAGGAATGGGGGTGGATTATGTTCCTTCAGATGAAATGACTCCAATTCTCCCCCATCCTGATGGCACCTATCAGATCAGAGTCAGTGTGGAAGTGCCAACCAAGGAGGGAGACACTTACTCCTGTCATGTGGATCACAGCAGTCTGGGGGATGAGACTCTCGCTGTGATATGGGTGAGTGGAACAGAGAAGACTGTGAATTTAGATTTATATACTGTACAGCCCACCATGCGGCTTCCTAAATGTAATAAAATATTTGCTAACCAGTGCCATTGCCTCCCAGGTCCCTCACCACAGCCAGCTGTTGTAGTTGGGGATCAGAGGGCCAGTTGTCATTGTTTTCTATTACCACTCATTTTAGGCTGAATAGGCTTACCAAAAGCAAACAATTGTATTTTGTAGACGTGTATTGGAGAATGGATCTTTCTTCGGGGCATAAACTTCATACAAGTTAGCTAATTCTGATCAACACCTGATATGTTTTACTCATTTTGGTACATGCCATACAAGACATGATTGCAATCATACTAAATATCATGGACTGGTGGGTCTGTTAGGCTGGTGAAATTCAGTACTGCACAGATCCAGTCACCCTGGCTTGACTTCACATGGTCAGCACCCAATGGCATACACTGTAATGGGAGAGGCAGTGGTAACTATCACTGGAGTAACATCACTAGATTGAGTTTCTGCATAATAACTGCTAGAGACCAAAGAAGAAGGTCTTGCTTTAGGTTTAAAGTAGTTGCAAATCCTTACAGATGTGACTAGCCTCAGGTGATACAAAGAGGTTAAACAAATCTTCCTACATAAATTGTAACTGTTTATATACAGCCTTCTAAAACACACAGTTCAATTGATTTTTCCCAGCTCCAGCAGGCAAGGATCTGACATTACACACTGCACTGCACAGCACAGCACAGCATAGCACAGCAAGGAGAGCTGAGTGTAATCTGAGCCCTGAATGCAAGGAATGGACACACACCATCTATGTCACAAATCACTTTCACTTTGCTGGAGGGGTGCAGGGCTGTCTCCTGAGATTCTGTGATGTGGGGGATAACCTGTCAGAAGTGTCCAGTGCAGGTAGGCTTTGTTCATATTTCATTTCAGAGGTTTTACAAGGAGCTTTTTTTTTTACTATGTTAGTGCATTTTCTCAAGTTCTGGGGTGAGATGTTGGACACTTTTCTGTTGATATTTTAATTGTAAGGTTTTTTTTAAGAGACACTGTCAATTTGCCTGATCAGGGCAATGAGACAGTGCCTCCTAATAGTTCACCACCACTTACTATGGAGTAAGGCATATACTCACCGATCTGCTCTCCCTCACTGCTTTTCCATTCTTTTGGAGCTCATGTTCTAGTACTGTAATGGAGTGGTGCTTCTAGATATGGGTGAGCATGTGAGTACTCCATGTGACAATGTTTGGGCAGACAGTTGCCAGGCCCAGACACTGTCACATGGGGAGGGGGGCAGTGACTTCATCCACTTAGATAATGTCCAACACCATGTGACATTAGGTGGACTTCTGAAAGAAGTAGAGTGAGTAAATCTCAGAGACACAACAGGGACGTTAGTGGAAAAGTCTATAAGTGAAGGAAGTTCCCATCTTAGACAGCCATCCCCATAACATGTGTCCCCATTGGAAGATTTCCCCTAACCTCTTGTTATGGGAACAACTCTAAAATTTGGCATTTCCTATCTCTTTCTTAATCATTGACAATGGTCACCAGTGCAGAGGAGTGTATCTCCCCAATAGGGACAAAGACAGCAGTAAAACATTTCCAGAGGGTGTAACCCTTCCTCACTCTACCAAAACTAAAAACAAATGTTGCTTAGAGACACACACCAACTTTGGATGTCATCTAGGATGGCAAAGTTTGCCCACTTTTCTTTTCCAGAGTTGGTCTCCTCACCAGTATGGAGCTGCTGTCCCCAATGCAAATGATGACCACCAGTGCCACTTCCAGACATTTGCTGACATTTGTAGCAAATCCATCAGCCAGGCTCCAACATGGAACTAGTGACACTAATCATTAACCAGGGATAGTATCTACAGGGCTAGAATACAGCTCCAAACACCAGTCATATAATCTACCAAACGGGGAGCAGTCTGCCTTTTACATTTTTATTTCTAAACAGGACACCTATGAGTGGTTTCTTTGACTTTGTATTTAGGAGATCTATTTATAAATGTTTTCTCCCAAGCTTCGTGCATCTTTCAACCAGATTTACATGTTTTTTCTAATTGAATTTAACTGGCAAAATTGTGTGATGGTGTGAAAAGTTGTGTACATCTTGTGGGGAAAAAATTCTAAATAGAACCCTAAGCGTAATCTCCATTTTGTAATTTTCTCTGTATTTCTTTTAGAACCCAATGATGATCTTCCACTTTGTGTAACTGTTGGTGCTGTATCTGCCTGTCTTATTGCTGTTGCTGCAGTTGGTGGTCTGTATCTGTATAAGAGTAAGTGTCAGTATTGAAGGATTTTATGTTCTTAGAGCTGCTTATTATGTTTATTCCATTCTAAATAAATTAGTTTGTATAAAAATTAATTTAAAAAAATACTGTTGCACTGACTAAGTATATATTTGTGCTTATACAGTATTCATTTTATATTCATTAATAGTGCTTCAGATAGAACAAAAACGATAGGACACTGTATATGCAGCCATGGCCAAAAATATTGGCACCCCTGCATTTCTGTCAGATAATGCACCACTTCGCCCAGAAAATTGTTGCAATTACAAATGTTTAGGCATTCTCATGCTTTTTTGCTTTTGTTTGTATTGGTATTACACAAAAAAGTGGAGAAACAAAAAGCTAAATGTGACACATTCCACGCAAAACCTCAAAAATGGACTGGACAACATTATTGACACCCTCAATTTAATTTTTGGTAGCACACCCCTTGGAAAAAATTACTGAAATCAATCTCTTCCTATAACCATCAATGAGTTTCTTTCATCTCTCTACTGGAATTTTGGACCACTCTTCTTTCTTCAACTGCTCCAAGTCTCTCAGATTGGAAGGGTTCCTTTTCCTAACTGCTGTTTTGGGACCTGTCTCCACAGGTGCTCTATGGGATTGAGATCTGGATTCATTGCTGGCCAATTCAGTACTCTATAGCACTTTGTCTGAAACCATTTCTGGGTGCTTTTTGATGTGTGCTTTGGATCATTGTCCTGCTGTAAGACCCATGACCTCTGATGAAATCCCAACTTTCTGACACTGGGCCCTACATTGCACACCAAAATTCTTTGGTAATCTTCAGATTTCATAGTGTCATGCACAAGGTCAAGACATCCAGTGCCTGAAGCAGCAAAGAAACCCCAAAACATCAGTGAACCTCCACTATGTTTGACTTTAGGGATTGGGTTCATTTCTTTAAAAACCTCACTGGTTTTTCTGAAAACAGTAGAATGATGGGCTTTACAAAAAAAAAAACTGTCATTTTGTTTCATCTGTCCACAGCACATTCTCCCAAAAGGATTTTGGCTTCCTCTGGTAAGTTTTGGCAAACTCCAATCTGGCTTTTTTATGTTTCTGTGTAAGCAGTGGGGTCCCTCCTGGGTCTCCTACCATAGCGTCCTTTCTCATTTAGATGGTGAAGTATAGTGTGAGCTGACACAGTTGTACCCTGTGCCTGAAGTTCAGCTTGAATTTGTCTAAAAGTTGATCGAAGTTCCTTAGCCATCATTTGAACAATCCTTCATTACAATCTTTGATCAATTTTTTCT